CTTCTGCTACGCATTCGGGAAAACCTCGGCTGCAGCATCGAGTGGCGGACAAAAACGTCTAGACTTGCGAGACGCCGGTCACGCAAGGGAGCCTGAGCTGCTCGTAGCGGCAGGAATATCGCATCGACAAGTTGAGCGCCAGAAGGCTCCACGCCGAGCCAGAAGGCTCCATGCCGCGCACATCACATCGGAAATGTTGGGCATTCGAGATTTAGGATGATGTCGGAAGTGAACGAAACTGCCACCCCCTGAACACCCGCCCCGCCCCCCCCCACCCCCGCATGCCCAGCAGCGTCCTAAAAACACCCCGGCGTAACACACACCGTGGGCCAACTACATGTACTCACTAATGGGCACGACCGGACACGTGAAATCTGCATGTGGCACGAGACTCTTTGAACTTACTGGAGCGAAAGTGTATCAGCTTGCGGGCAATCAAAAAAAACCTGAAAAAACACGTAAACACAGGCCGCAACAGGATCGCGGTGTAGTACAATTGTGCAATCCTTGCAGTCCTGAAGTATCAAAACGCACGGACGGCTCCCTGGTTCGGATGTTGACGGCAATCTATGAGGTGGTACATGCTCGAGCCTGTCAGTCTGCAAGCATGGCACTCATGATAAGCGAAAGTACTCACTATTTGCCACGGTGGGCCGCGTGTCTGGCATCTCCATGAGGCAGCCTTTTGCTTTCTCCAGAGAGTACGGCAGCTTCGCAGGTTAGTTTCCAGACCAGGTTTGCACGGAGCGCAGCGAAGAAAACGGGTGTTGACACTCTTGTAGCGGGGTGATCGTATTACGAAGAGAACTTGCTGAGTATTGATGTTGGGTTTGTTTTAAAGACATTCCAATTCTCCTAAATTGATAAGCTTTGGTCCGCATTAAGGACACTTTGCCTTGGTTTACAACCTCCGCATGGGTTTCAACAGTACATGCAATTTCCAGAGCATTCGAGTATTCCGGAGGTGCAGACATGCAAGGGGGGAAGGGCAAGAAATACTATGCCGCCACATGCAGCCCCTGTGCGTGTGTGTATATATATATATATATGTGTGTATATATATATATAGACAGATAGATAGATAGATAGATAGATAGAAAGATAGATAGAGAGAGAGAGAGAGAGCGAGAGATCGAGAGCGAGAGAAACATCTAGACTGAAATCCAGATATAGATACAGAACTATAGATAGAAGTGAATACAGATGTATCATGAAATTCAAGATGCAGATGTAGGTATAGAGATGGAAATATAAATGGAAGTAGATATAGATACGGATACAGCAACATCAACATATAGGTCTTGATGTAGGTATAGATATAAATACAGACCGGGTTACAAATACCGGTGAAAGTCAGGACAGATAGATGTAGCTGCAGATACGGTTTTAGATTTAGACATAGGTACAGGTATACACATGTATTTATGGCTATAACTTCATACATACTCTAATGGATCGATTCTCCACCAGTGTCCAAAAGTTTTGGTTCAAAGTACATGCAAAGGGTGCTCGTAAGAGCAATGCACCAATCGCAGACAAGAATTCGATAAGAAATTTCCGACGCCGTGCCAGCTCATCCTGGAATCTTTACGAAGAAACAGAAACTTAACAGTGCACCATAGGCCGAGCAGCATGGCTAAGATGGACTCATATGGGGGCGCAGTCGGCTGATGTACGATGGTGACCTCCGAAGACTGTTTTGGGGTTACAAGCATTTTCGGGAATTACAGTCCTTAAGGTACCGATGTATTTTCCTGACGACGAAAACCGGAATTCAACCCGGGTTTCGGGTAATCAAGAATCCTATGAAGTAGTTCAATCGCCTACCGGCCCCTCAACCTTGAAGTAGAAACAACATCGCGAACATGAATAACTTCACAACACTGGCCGTACTAACAATAGCAATAATAGCATTGGTGAGAAAACAAGGATCACAATACACGCAAAGAAACGAAAGCGACGACGACAATGCCCACCTCACCGCACAACTAGAAAGAGAGGGCTGGAAAAAGGTACGCATGAACGAGCACGAACAATATCCACTGTCAGGTCTGCATTGTGACGAACACGACTTACTTACCCAAACAATGACAAAGCATGTGAAGCATGAGGAAGAGGCGCTAAACGTTGTTTTTCCCTGGCCTTCTGGGCTGGGTTCTTGGGAAGTCGTCCTTCAAAGAATGACCTCCCCGGCCATGACATCTGCTGGTGGCCGAGCTCCCATCTCAAATGCACCACCACATCCTTACGATTCAAGCTTCGCATTCAAAATTATGAGTTCAGCGTGCTGGTTCCTCCAAAAACAAGTACGGGGCTAAGGGATCACGGTGCCGACGCGCGAAACCTGAAACTTAATACCCAACGTATATCCAAGACTACACTACACCTCAAGCCGCACACCGAAAACGCACCCAAGCATCTGTCGGGGAAAATGCCTGGGGAAGGCCCGCATGCTCCTTGTGGCTATAAGTCTGGAGAGCCTCCTGGCAGACTCTGACATGGACGGGGACCGCAGTTCCTTCTCAATAGATTTGTTTATCGGACCGTCTGCCAAAGATTCTGTTATGTACCGTCCTTGCCACACAAGCATAGGATTCCCGGGAGTTGGGTCGACATTCCTTTAACTTTTGGAAACTTTCTCCTGGGTTTCCTTGATGATCAAGCCCCGGATATGCGTCCAGGAGCCTACGCACTTGTGTGGAAACATGGGAGACTGACACCTGAGCTGCTCTTGTATGGATTTGAGAGAACATTGCTCGGGACTTTCTCAGACTTTCTCACTCAATGACAAGATTCGAACATGTTAGAGAAAAAAACTTCAAATGTGGCCCAGACGCTTGGCATCGCAAACCTGCTGGAGCGCCTTCCAGTCCCTGTAATCGACAGCGGGAGGCGCTTGCTCAGGAAGGTACCGGAGCCATGTCCCCGTCCACGTGGCGATGTTAGAAGTCCTGACAAGTTGAGGGTATGACGATGCCACCAGGCTTACGATTCAAGATTAACGATTTAAAGCTCCGTCTACGACTGCTGCTACTACTACTACTACTACTACGCCATCTTCTCTTTCTGATCAGGTAACTAGTAGCATCAGCAAGAGTAAGAGTAATAGTAATAGTAATGGTAATCCTAATGGTAGTAGTTAGCAGTAGTAGTTGTAGTAGTAGTAGTAGTTGTTGTTGTAGTAGTAATAAAAATAATCACAGTAGTACGAGTAGTAGTAGTAGTAGTAGTAGTAGTAGTAGTAGTAGCAGTAGTAGTAGTAGTCGTGGCGGTGGCGGCGGTGGTGGTGGTGGCGGTAGTAATAGTAGTAC